ATGAGCACGGTGCAAGGTCTCCTAAATTTACCTTTTAATATACTCTCAACAATTAGATTTAAACCAGGAACTTATTTATTTAAAGCTATTAAAAAGAACTGTAGGGGCAGTACCTGTGACTCAAAGGAGTAGGGTGCCAGCCCCATATGCCGGAGGTGGAGGGTTCAAACCCAGCCCCAGCTAAAAACTGCAATAGAAAGAACTGTACCAGGCTCGGCGCCTATAGCTCAACTGGCTAAGGCGCCAGCCACGTACACCTAAGGTGGCGGGTTCGAGTCCCCAGCCCGGACCCGCCAAAACAACAATGACGGCTGCAACCAAAAAAAAATAGCCGGGCGTTGTGGCAGGCGCCTGTGGTCCCAGCTACTTGGGAGGCGGAGGCAGGAGACTCGCTTGAACCCAGGAGTTGGAGGTTGCTGTGAGCGTGATGCCATGGCACTCTACTCAGGCGGACAGCTTGAGGCTCTGTCTCAAAAAAAAAAAAAAAAAAAAAAAAGAAAGAACTGTACCAGCCTGGGCAACATAATAAGACCTTGTCTCTATAATTTTTTTTTTTGGACAAAGTCTCATGTTGTCACTCTGGGTAAAGCGCAGTGGCATCATCATAACTCACAGTATCTCAATCTCTTGGGCTGAAGACTCTAGGTACCCGCCACAATGCCAGCTAGTTTTCCTATTGTAGTAGAAATGGAGTCTCGCTCTTGCTCAGACTGGTGTCGATTCCTGAGCTCAGGCAATCTACCCTCCTTGGCCTCCCAGAGTGTTAGGATTCCATGTGTGAGCCACTGAATTTGGCCTTACAAAAAACTTTTTAAAAAATTGGCCAGGCACAGTAACACACACCTATAGGCCCTGCTACTTGGGAGGCTGAGGCAGAAGGATCACTTGAACCCAGGAGTTCAGTGCTACAGTGGGCTATGATCACACCACTGCAACCCAGCTTGGGCAACAAAGTGAGAGCCTTGTTCTTGTCTCAAAAAACAAACAAATAAAAGAACAGCAAACATAGTATCACTGGTAACTCCAAGAACTCCCAAGAACTGTGATATTTTGACGGAAAAGATAATGCTAAACTCTTAGGAGGAAGATCAAGAGGTGTGGACCAGTGGGGAAGACTCTGACCCTGAACTTTCTAAAGACTTTCCTCTAGCAACAGACTTCTTTTCCAAATGCATAAATAGGTCATCTAAGAGCTTGTTTTCTAATTCCCAAAATAAAGTACTATAAGGCATTTAAGCATCCCACTGGCCTCCTCCTGTCTCATCTAACCCAAGACTAAACTCAGGTTCCCGTGACTCTTCCTTGTCTCTCCTGGAAACATCCAGAAATCTACATCCACACAAGCAAACACCATAAACATGCTTATTTTCATATAACATATTTATTTCTTCTTGATGTATACAAAATTCTCAACACTTTAGATGCCCACTGGAAAACATAAGCTAAGAAAATACCAATCAATGACATGCATCCTTGGTGGTCTGGCTGTCACTTCCATAGCACATCTAACAACCTCCTGATCCTCCCAGCGGTCATTAAACTAGGGCAGACACAGTTTCTGGAAAGGCGAAGCATCTACTTACTGTGCTTCTTCAGAAGACTCTTGTTTTATTTTTAATGTTCTCTTTGTGACAGGTATTTCATCTGCAAAGCAAAGATTTTTAAACACATTATATTTTCCTAAGTGATGGCACACGTTTAAGTACCTATGTTTACTGCCCCACTCCATCCTTTCCAGTGCCAGGCCTTCATTCTAGTGTCAAACTGTCCAATGCCAGATTTACAAATATGACTCTTACGTAATAAGATGCGTACATTTATATGCAAGATCAGAAACCAGCTCTACAAGTATAAAATTCTTCAAGGTCACCAGCGGATTTCTAGCGAGGAGCTTAAAGCTTAATTTCACTGCAAACATGATTTCAAAAGAACAAGAATGAAAATCATTCTGTTTTGTTTAGATTTCCTGTGTAGGTTTTACAGAGCAATTATTCCTCCAGTATCAGGATTGGCACATACTACACGGTATTTTTTCCCCAAAGGTTTGAATGACTTAACTCTGTGTGGCAAAAACCAATGTTGTAAGATGCCAAAATAATTTCGACCTTGTTACTGTTTCCAATTAAGAGGCAGTGATCACTGAGCATCTGCCCTTTTTGTTCTTCTAATCTTGAAGTCCATCCCTCACACACTGTTGCTCTTACAGTTTTAAGGCCTCTCTCTTTTCTTTCTCTCTTCTAATATTTGAGATTTTTAAAACAGCATTTGTAAGAAACGTATTAGCATTTAATCCTTTTTTTTTTAACACTAATATTTCTCTCTCATGAATTCTGTAAAAAAAAAAAAAAAAACAGTGCCCACGGACTTGATCTTAAGCGAGGGAGCACATTTATACCACCAATCAGAGCAGTTGCCTGAGTAATAATTCACTGGGAAGTAGAGAATTTACTTATAAGAGAGCACTTGTTACACAACTTACTGTTAAGGTACAATGGCTGCAGTGGAAATTGATTAGTACTTCTAAATTATAAAAATCAAAATCGGAGCACTGAATGCAAAAAGAAACAACAACAAAAATCCCTGCACATATACTCTTATTTAGGCCATCCAAGTTAAGATTTGATGTCTAGGAGTTTTATTTTCCATTTTGAGTGACTATCTCTGTGCATAAATTGTTCCAGCTAACATTGGGATGGGATCTCTCAAGGACTTTCAAGGACTATGAGCACTGACACAGTTCAACGTCCACTTTTCTCAAGATAAATGGAAGATTCCTCTCATTTTTTGTTCAGACTGAAGTCTGAGGGGGGACCTTCTCCAAATCGTAAATAGAAAAGAAAAGGTATTTGGGATAAATTAAGGAAAAGTTAGTTACATCTATGGCAGCTGGGCCAAGAGTCAATCCTCTTGGCAGTCACCTTAGAACTGGGAGGTGCAGGATATTTAAAATTGTACAGGATGCTCCCTGTTGCTGAGCTTCTGTGTGTAGCTCCAAATTAAGCATTCTGGGCTCGATGCCTGTAGCTAAGCGGCCAGGGCACCAGCCACATACACCAGAGCTGGTGGGTTCAAACCCAGCCCAGGCCTGCCAAACAACAATGACAACTTCAACCAAAAAATAACCAGGCACTGTGGCGGGCGCCTGTAGTCCCAGCTTCTTGGGACACTGAGGCAAGAAATCGCTTAAGCCCAAGAGTTTGAGGTTGCTGTGAGTTGTGATGCCACAGCACTCCACGGAGGGCAACAAAGTGAGACTCTGTCTCAAAAAAAAAAAAGAATTAAGAATTCTGTGTCTTTAGGAATCTTGTTGGTACTGCTATCACCAAATGACCAACACTAAGCACTAGCTGGCACTTTACAGCCAAACCAAGGACACCTGTATTGTCCCAAATAAACTGGCTACATGCCTTGTAATGACTAGTGGGAACAGAACCAGAAGATGCCTGCCGATAAGTACCAGTGCTCGTATATAAAAGTACATACAGACACACACCCTTCAGTGTCATATGCATTGCTTCTTACCCAATTCCTGATCTGTTGGGTAGCCATGGAGATCCCGACTGTGGTCTCCCCAGTCCTCCTGTGAATAGTCCTCCATAGTGCTGCCATCTGACTCCAGCTCCTGGTACAAGCCACTACTGTTAATAAGTACAGGCTGGCAGGGCTGAGCATCCCATCCTCCCTGACCAAACACCTGTTCCAACTGTTCAAATGTGTAACTGCTCTTTCTTTTCCCAACACCATGTTCTTTCACCCGACTGTAACACCTGCGAAGGGTCTAAGACACAAAGTCTTTTGTTATTCCTTTAAAGCTGTACTTCCTCTTCCAGGTACGGACCACAGATATTAATTACTATTAGACAGACACAGACAGACAAACATAGACACATTGTTACAGGAATGCTAGATTTCAAATTCATTATTATATTAGAAAAAAAAATACTATTTAGCATTTATTCAAACATGTTATAATTCAAACAATTATTTTGCAATTAATTATCCATTAAACAACAAGAAACATTACAACATTATTGCATGTACCCCATACACATACTTTTATACCCCCACCCCCACTTAAAAAGAATAAAGGGGGGAAAAATACAAGAAATACCAGCCAGCCAATAGGATGCACACCTGCCACAGGAGAGAGAGAGCTGCTATTGTGCCCAGAATTTGGAAAAAGTGAGGGAAGGGAGGACAGAAAGAAGAATTTCCCAGAGTGAAGAATAACTTCCTTGCTCTTGATTAAGAAGAAATACAGGGCAAAAACGACTGCCTACACAACTTAGCTAGCAAAACATACTGCTTACATAGTCTGTATTTTTTACTAACTTGGTCTTTGTAGAAGCTGCTAAAATTTAAAACAGAGGTCCCGTAAATAATGCTACAAATTCCCAGTCTCAAGCATCACTTGTCAAGGAACAGTATGCTAATACCTCCATCTAAACTTGACAATGTACTAGTCTATACTACCAGCTCATGTTGCCACAAACCAACAAATAAGGCCAATAATTTCTTCTGGGGCGGGGGGGAGAGCAAGGGAGAGGGTGTTGTGACAGTTCACGGCTTCTCTGCCACGTGGGTACACAGCAATAACATGCAAGTCCACAGATAAACCCAATCACCTTCCACTACACTTCCATTTTCTTCAGGGTTTTTATTTCTAACACATATTTCTCATTAGTAGCCCAGTTGCCTAAGTTTAATGGTGTATATTACGCTTTCTTTTTTCTTTCTCGGTGGAGACTGAGTCTTACTTTGTCACCCTCAATAGAGTGCTGTGGAGCCATAACTCACAGCGACCTCAAATTCTGGGGCTCAAGTGGTCCTCTTTCCTCAGCCTTCTGAGTAGCTGGGACTACAGAAGTCTGCCACGACGCCCAGCTATTTTTAATTTTTTTTAGAGACCAGGTCTCGTTCTTGCTCAGACCGGTCTTGAACTCCTGAGCTCAGCCAATCCAGCCTGCTTCAGCCTCCCAGAGTGTTAAGAAGACAGGCGTGAGCCACCACGCCCAGCCCTTATGCTGTTTTCTATTTCAAAAGATAAACCAAGAATTTAAGTCCCAGCTTCCAAATTTAGTTTAGTTACATTCGGTCTCTATATTATCTCCTTCTCCCTTTGTTATTTATACTCCCTCTTCTATTTTCCCAGGTTTCACTCTAAGAATTTTCTTGAGAGACAAGACCCCTTTTCCCTGGTGCCTCCCAAATACTTTCTAACTCTACTGTGCAAAGCCAGTTCACTTCAGACTTAATGGATACGCATTTCTCCTCAATGTGAGATTACTTTCCATAAGCCAATATATTAACCCTACTCACCAAACTAAAACAACTCTTAACATCTCTATAGAGCCTCCTTGAAAGTTCAGTATCTTTAAATCGCAGCTGACAATCTATAAGATACTCTTTCAAATATTTTGTAAATCTGTCCCTTGAGGCCAGAAATCCAGATGGGTAAAAAGCATAATAAAGCAGGACATACGATGATCTTCCTCACACGTAAGCAGAGCCGTGGTTAGAGTCTCCCACCCTAAAGCCAGCCAGCCTAGCCTGCTTCATTCTCCCTTCTCCAGGTCTCTCCTGGGGGAGCTCAAATGAGGCCTTTGAGAACTGAGGTTTCCAATAAAACAATCTCTTAAAAAGTGTTTCTTCCTTCTATTTATAAAGGACAGTCACAACCACATAAGACAGAACTTCCCAGAACAAACCAGAAATATAAACTCGGGAAACACGTGCCACGGGTAAACCTTCCAATGGAAGGAGACAGATCCTCACAGCAGGGCTCATTTAACTTCTACATCGTCCCTTTTCCCAGTGCCCTCTGCCCTCCTTGCAGGGATTGGAATTTAAATTGCAAACAACTCCTGACAATTTATTTTTATCTCACAATGTCTAGTTTTCTGCCTCCAAGAACACCCCAACCACTCTTTTCAACTCCTCCAAGGACCGTAAATGGATAGTCCCAACCATGCCCCTTTCACCCTTCCAAGGCCATAAATGGAGAAGGAGACCAGGCCACTGCTCACTCCTTACTGACTGCCTAGAGAAAAGCATTCAGCACACAAAACAGCCCATCAGCTTTTCCACTGAGGGTTATTACAAAAATCAGGGAATGAAACTAACATGCCTTTGAAGAAAGGTACCACACTTATCAGGCATCAGCAAAGCCACCAACCTTTGGTAATACACATGGTGGGAAACCACAGACTCTTATTCTCTTTGAAACCATAAAATTGAGCTCAAAATTTCACTTAGCTTGTGTAACTGTGAATAAGGAAACTAGTAGTAGATACGGGAGAATAGTGGGGTATTTTATATTTCATCAAAGGAGGCTGACAGATCTTGCCACCTCTTATTTTGTGGTGTACTTTTGTAATACGCTTTTATAGTGCAATATGCTGATCTGTAAAATATCTATCGGGTTTCTGAAGATGTCTGGTAACTTATAAATCCATGATAGGAATCTGGTGTATTGAAATAATATCGAAAAAGATCTCCAAGTTGACTTGAACTGTCTCAAGATATAAATACACTTAAGAGGTAACTTCTGGGTTCAGTAAAGACCATAGTTCCAAGGAGAGGCTGTTTAAATAGGACACATGAACTAAGGGGAAAAAAGTAATGAACTCTAACATCAGTTTGACTCCTACTATAAGAAACAATGGGATTTAGTTAAACTTGATAGAATTTAGAGATGGATAAAAAGGACCCATAGAGACCATAATAAATCAAAAAAAGGTCATGCTTTCCACACTCTCAATGCTTAACCAAGGCATATAATTAAAAGACTGTATGTCTGTGTCAACAGCCCTGAATAAACCAACTTAAAAGCAAACTCTGAATCTGAGGTTACAATAACGCCCCTGAATCCAGGACAAACAGAAGTCTCACCTCCCATTTCAGACGGCTACCAAATCCAACAGGAGCCTGACTTTGGCCTTGACAGACAGCCACGTCCCAGTCAACACAAAAACCTTGCTTCCCTTCCTTCTTCTCTTCCTTCCCTCATTTTGGAAATCTACAGTAACTTAAGCTCTAACGGTTTTCTAAAAATTAAGATCTTGGGGGGAAATTGGCTTAAAATAATTAAAAACTATTCACAATTTAAAATAATAATTTGCCTTACTGTCAGAAATTTCCCTGGTAAATTGATATTACATTTCTGCGCCTTCCCTGGAAGAAGGGCTGTGAGATAATACTATTTCTTGAATGAAGCCATGGGGACAGAGGCCAGGAGGAGCCAAGATAATCCAGACAGGAGAACTGAAGCACAGGGGACCCCTGGATCAGGCGGTCAAACCAGAGGAGTTCAGGAGTATTTGATTTGGAAGAAATGCCAGGTAAATGCTTCCTAAATCCACCAGGCCAGGTGCTTACTGACTACAAAAAGGAAAGAACCAGAGAAAAGATCTGAAAGATGTCCCATTACCAAAGCAGGGGGGAAAGTAAGATGGCTGACAACAGATAATTTATAGGACAGAGGGGGAAAGTTTTGCCAAGTTTAATATTAGAGTAAAAGGAAACGAGAGAATAAAAAGATGACATTCATTGTGGATGAATGTGTGGGGAGTCTACAGGGGAGGGAGTCAGGTAAACAAAGGCAGGGGTTGTAGATTGGCAGGATTGGGGGTTTAACGGCAGCAATGCAGAGAAAGACCCAGGGTTACAGTACACGTAACATTAAATACAGTGCACAATGCAGCTATCTTGCCAAAGTAAGTAAATCCAGTATTGGGTTGTATAAGCAGAGGAATCACATGTAAGCTATGGAGGTGGCTCTTCCTCTCTATTCAGCACCGGTGAGGCCACAGCTGGAGCACAGCATTCAGTTCTGGGCATCGAACCAGCTACAAGAGAGGGAAATTGTAGAGTTCAGAAAAGGGCAAATAAAATAATGAAAGGCTTGGAAAATAAGGTCTATAAAGCAGGGCCAGTGGCTTCGTCAAAGCCCTTCCTGACGTTATCTATGCGACTTTGGGGTGAGAGTAAGGTTTCTTTTACTTCAGTGTCCTCCAATCCCTCCTTGGACTCTCAGGAAGTGGGAAGAATTACCTTCCTCCCTGGTACGGCCAAGTAGGCAGCAAACTACATACATCACAAGGGCGTGTGCCCACCAATTCCAGTACCGGCTCAGTCATTTTCTCAAAATGTGCCCCATTTCATACAATCATGAAGTAATTACCAACAAAACCACTGTTGTAGCTAATGGACCACGGGGAAAGGAGCATGCAACAGGGAGGGGCAGAAATCGGGCGTAACAGCTGTATACACGTGCTGTTTAGAAAACACTGGCTGATCAGTCTAAGAAGTCAGATGAAACATAGTCAATCTGCAGGAGGACAGCTTAGTTATAACAGCAGGAAACAATGTTATAAGAAAAAACAAGCAGTGAAACAGATTTCCAAATATAGGTGTCAAGCTGGCCCTACTAGAAATACATTAACGGAGTTATGATCTTAACCCACTGCCAACTAAAATTGATAAATTTGGAGATTCCTTTCACCCAAATACACTTACTTGCAAACAAAGCCTTAACAATTATATATTACACTCCACAAAAGATGAGGATATTACACTAGCAGGAACCCTTCAGTGACTTATTTTCTTATAAGAGTATTAATACCTCAGATTAAAGCAAGTGTATATTTTGAAGCAACAAAAGTCTGTGTCAAGTACATCTTTCTTCTTCCCGTAAAGTTACTGCTTTTTTAACTGGCACAACTAGTTGCTCTTAGTTAACTGAAGCAACAAAACAAAACCAAGTGTATTTTAACAACTTTAAGACTCAGGGTGGTGCCTGTGGCTCAAGGAGTAGGGCACTGGCCCCATATACCGGGAGTGGCCGGTTCAAGCCCAGCCCCGGCCAAAACTGCAAAAACAAAGCAAACAAAAAAAAACTTTAAGACTCAAAATTTCTCTAACTAGCTGTATTTCATTCCTGGGAACATAAAAGAAAGCAATCTTAAATAGCAGACATAAGTCAAAAAACACATTTCTGCACACAGTAATAGCAATGTCAAGAAGGCAGTATAAATTCCTATATATCTCCTTGGACCTAGAACTGCAATGATTAGGAAGTCACCTAAGGTAAAACCCATCTGGGGCTAGAACTTGTACAGTACCTACTTTCTTAGGTCATAAATACTGTATCTGACAAACTGACTTCCCATTAACTTAAATTCCTTAAAACCAGCCAAGTGGCTCGGCTCCTATAGCTCAACCGGCTAAGGCGCCAGCCACGTACACCTAAGGTGGCGGGTTCGAATCCCCAGCCCGGACCCGCCAAACAACAATGACGGCTGCAACCAAAAAATAGCCGGGCGTTGTGGCGGGCGCCTGTGGTCCCAGCTACTTGGGAGGTGGAGGCAGGAGACTCGCTTGAGCCCAGGAGTTGGAGGTTGCTGTGAGCTGTAATGCCACCGCACTCTACCCAGGGGGACAGCTTGAGGCTCTGTCTCAAAAAAAAAAAAAAAAAAAAAAAAAAAACCCAGCCAAGTACAAAAATTCAACCAAAGAAAATCAAAAAGAAAAATGTATCAAACCTATATTAACTCCCCCAGTTCTCAGTACTACAGAGCCCAGTTTTGGCAAGTAAAACAATCTTTTTATACTTAAATCTTTTGCTTTTCCTGTTTCTCTCCAGGGCAGAGGTTCTTAACCTCTCTGGCTCCCATACACAACCTGTTCCATGCAGTTTCGAGGGGGCACATTAACTCACTGTGGAGCCCACGTGAGGACCTCAGGTTAAAAAATTCTTACTCTATATTATGTAGTTTTTTTCCTCCACAAAAGACTATAACATGTATTGGTCAGAAACTCTAAAATAAGGAAGACTTAATTTGTGTATTAGGACTTTGCAAGAGATTCTAAAGACTGGAATAAGCAGGTTGAGTACAGTTAACCAGTCTGCTCAGTATTCTGCTTGTTTAAATGAAGTAGCACTAATATTTTCTTTCTTTTTCTTTTTTTAGAGACAGAGTCTCATTTTATTGCCCTTGGTAGAGTGCTGTGGTGTCACAGCTCACAGCAGCCTCCAGCTCTTGGGCTTAGGCGATTCTCTTGCTTCAGCCTCCCGAGTGGCTGGGACTATAGGTGCCCACAACGCCCAGCTATTTTTTTTTTTTTTTGGCAGTTTTTGGCCGGGACTGGGTTTGAACCCACCACCTCTGGCATATGGGGCCGGTGCCCTACTCCTTTCAGCCACAGGCACTGCCCGAACGCCCAGCTATTTTTTGTTGCAGTTTGGCCGGGGCTGGGTTTGAACCCACCACCCTCGGTATATGGGACCAGCGCCCTACTGAGTCACAGGTGCTGCCCCATTAATATTTTCCTTAAGAGGTAAACCCCCTGTTTCTTGAAGGAAATAAAGAAGGATATGAGGAAATCACTTTACTCTTTACAAAAATATAGCATTCTTTTCCTTCTGCTGGGCAAGAAATCTTTTTTTGAGACATGGTCTCACTTTGTCGCTCTGGGGTTGAGTGCCATGGCGTCATACCTCACAGCAATCTCAAACTCTTGGGCTCAAGTGATCCTCTTTGCCTTAGCCTCCCAAGTAGCTGGGACTACAGGCGCCCACCACAACACCCTGCTAGTTTTTTTTTCAAAGACAGGGTCTCACTCTTGCTCAGGCTGGTCTTGAACTCCTGAGCTTAAAAAATATACCTGCCTCAGCTTCCCAGAGTGCTAGGATCACAGGTGTGGGCCACTACATCCGGCCAGGCAAGAAATCTTTTTCTGAAGTGATAAATAATATTAAAAGATTCATTAGTTATGCTGATTATCTGGTCTACTTGTATCACATAGTACTCAACCATCCATTATCTGACTGACTTTATAAATGTAGATGCTAGTTGCTACTAAGTTAACAACTGAAGACGGAGAGCCATTCGCCTAGAAACAAGTACAGGGAAGGAACTGACTGCCTTCCTGCCTTCACAGCCTAATGACAAAGCTGTCACAGCTTCCAGTTTTTTTTTTTTTTTT